GTTTGACTATTGTCACTGGAGCAGATATCCTCATTGGAAAAGTACCTCTCTACTCCTCTTTCAGTGTCAATTGCAAAATATTGGTTTTCTCCAGTCCTAGAGACAACGGCCATTATGACAGATAATGAAGCACACATACAGAAACAAAAGTCAAACCAAAGTTTCAACCTTTTCTTATTTTAACCAAAATTGGATTTTACTGGAGTGCTACTATAAATATCCCAGGGATTCCAACATCAAGATCTGTCTGTGGGTCTACATGCCAACAATGCCAACTCAATTTAACCAACCAAAAACCTAACTTCAAATTGTTCTTAAAAAAAGAACTCCTGGATAGGCAAAAATAAAAAATTACCCATTAGTACACCCCCCTACACAAAACACTAAACAGTTAATACAATTTTGAAAATCCTTACCATTTAGGAGAAAAGTCTAATTGAATTTTCATTGACCTCATCTCTCATTTAAAAAAATAACTGTATCTTCTCTGCCAAGGAGGAGGTGTAACAGCAGGGATTACATCATACCCTCTCCTCTCTCTGCAGTAAAAAAAAAAACTACAGTTCCCATCAACCACAGGGAATTGTAGTGAATGTGGGGGGATACATTTTGAATGTGCCTGCACATGTTGAATGTGTCTGAGAGTCTTGGTACGCCCACCACTGCAAGTGGGGCTGAATTACATCACTGCTTCCTGGAGAAAGAACTACAGAAGGGAAGTGCCAAAACCAGTGGCTGGGAGAATAGTAGCCACTGGTCTTACAAACAGGAAACCAAAGAGAATTAATGGTTTGATTTGAAAATTAATAGGCTATTTCAGAGCAACTACTGAGTGAACCAGAAGATGGATGACATATTAAATGAAGGTAGGAAATCAGCATCAAGGGCATGTAAATACGAAATATGTGTTTGACCGGAGTTCAGCTTTAACATTTAGATCAAAACAGAGGATTTTATAGCATACATTTGGTATCACATAAGTGAAGTGTGTCCTTAGTTTTATTACATTGGAGGCAGGCCATTCTACATTCTACTTTAAGATACTGCAAAATATCATTGTCACAAATCAATGGAGAGCTAGTTGGTTTGCTCTCAATGTATTTATTGATATATTTGTCACAGTTTGGGTACTAAGATAAATAAAAGTAGGAACAGCTCTTTACTGAGGTGCCTTGTTGTGGCAGTGCACTCACATATATTTGCTAAAACATCATTGAAGTGTTATGGTTATACAAATGGGATGGTTGTAATGTTCACTTTTTCTGCTAGGTATGTACTGAAGTTAGCAGCTAACACTTTTGATCTTGAACCATGATCTCAAACTGCAGGCGCTGTATATTGCCCATTATTGTTGTCCAGCCACCCTCTATATATAGCATTCTTTGTAGGTATTCCAACAAATTAACAGCTATTCCACACAAGGTATCTCTTTTCCTTAGGTTTATTGGTTCTTTATTATATCTGGATACAAATACCCAAATGGGAGTGGACTGGACACAGACATCAGCAAATATGCTTAGTAAATGTCAAGGACAATCTTTGCTGTTTCCCAAGATAAGGCTGAGATGAGATGGCTTCTTGATTATCTCCTTAGGAGCACAGACATGCCCAAGCCCCAAAGAACTGAACTGTGAATGGCTTTTTCCATATGTGTAAAATAAAATATTATATTGCCGTGATATTGTGCTCAAAATATCTTAACATATCTTATACTATATATCTGTATAATGATGTACAATTGTAGGAGGTAGGTCAGACTGAAAATATATTAGGTTGGATGGTTTTCAAATTAATGGAATATTTAGTAAAGTATTTAATTGGTAAGGCTCTGTTTTTTTTTTTGGGGGGGGGGGTTCTTGTATATAGATAGTATTTGTAAGAGCTGCTTAAAGAACTAGCAAAGGCATGCCTGTTACAAACCAGAAGGGGCAACGTTGAGGATTGGAGGTTGTTAGGTTGGTGGCAGCTGTGGCGGTGACGGTGATGCACAGTGGCAAGGGTCTAGTAGCGTGGCACAATTGGGGGGGGGGGGGGGGGACTCTGATAGGAGTGAAGAATGATAAGAATATTGGGAGGCAACCAAAAGGAGGGAATGGTGATACACTGCTCATATTTTAGACAACACTGCTTTAAAAGGGGATGAAAGTGGTTGATGGATGCTAAGATCTGGGGGTGAGAGGGGGGGCATCAAAGGTTGCTGTGCTCACAGAGTGGCGAGAATGGAGCTAGAAGGGATGCTGGGGTGGTGATAGCAAAGTGGGAGGGTGGTGGTGTGCCGGCAGAGTGTGGGTGGGTGATTCTCTGGTGGGGTGGTGAAAGCAAGAGTGCAATATACGGGTAGAGTGGGGACTAGCACAGTGGTGAGAGAAAGGGATTTTACTTGCTGGAAGAGTAGTGAGAATAAGGATGAAGGGATCTCTGGTGGAGTCGTAAGAGTCAGGGTGATGCGCTGGCAAAGTAGGAGTGGGGGGAGCTCTAGTGGGGTTGTGAGAGTTTCTACTTAAAGTGTTACTAAACCTAGGACCCAGCATTCACCATCTGGTCTCTCACAGTACACACAACATGAACACGCAATTATTTTAGTAAATAGAAACTGCTAAATACATTTTCTCATCAGCAGTTAGAGCAGTCTTGTGACTTCTATCAGTGTCCAGCTGAGCACTTGTAAAGCTTGTAGGAGCAGCTTTCATTCTGCTCTGGCTGTCTTATAAGGCTGCATGACCCCTGACCCTCTGTCTGGACAGTGTCGATTGGCCCTGTGTTGATCACATGCACATTCCCAAAGGAAAAAAAACTCTTTAGCAATACACACCAAAATGAGCATGTGCAGAGTGACTCTTAGAGCTCTCTACCATCATCAGTAGATGGATTGGAGACAGTGGAAGACGGGGAGGAACAGAGCAGTCAGGATCAAACGGCCTTTTTACACAATGCAGAGGATTAACCCCTTAGGTTCCACAGTGAGTATAACAAGCATGCTTTACTGCATATACAGACTGATTTTACTGTTTAGTAACTCTTTACAATGATTCTTAAGGTTCTTTTTTTTTTTGTAAAATAAAAAACATGTCTATACTTACCTGCTGTGTGTAGTGGTTTTGCACAGAGCAGCCTGGATCCTCTTCTTGGGTCCCCCACAGGCTCTCCTGGCTCCTCCTGTCCGTTGGGTGCCCCCCACAGCAAGCAGCTTGCTATAGGGGCACACACCGCTCCATGTGTCCATTCACACACGGAGCTGTGGCTTGGCCCCACCCCCTCTCTCTCCTCATTGGCCGACTGGCTGTGATTGACAGCAGTGGAAGCCAATGGCTCCCACTTGCTATCTCAGCCAATGAGGAGACAAATACCCGAGACACCCGTGGCTGTCATTCACATCACTTGATTGCAATGAGGCTCAGGTAAGAATTGAGGGGGCTGGGGGGGCTGCTGCACACAGAAAGTTTTTTACCTTCATGCATAGAATGCATGAAGGTAAAAATCCTCAAGCCTTTACAACCACTTTAAGCTAATTTATAAAGTCAAGCAGTAGCTGAAAAATTAAATTTGGTTTGTGCTCAGCTACAAATAATCTTTCTTTTATATATACAAATAAATGATAAGAACAGAAAGTGATACACAAAACTAAAGCTTTACATAGACTAAGTCCACCCTACAAGGGGCTCTCAAGTGCTTTAATGGCCTAAAGCTAATAATCCAGTTTCAGCACTTGTACACTTGTTTTGCGTCATCCTCTTTTCCATCTTTGCTTCTCTAATACAGAACTGCAGTCTATGAAGTCTAATTGGTGTGAATAGGATAGCAGAGGAGTAAACGTCTGACCCACAGACCTGGGGTAGATGATGAAACTTACAGAGCTTTCCCCATAAGAACTATGCAATGCACTAACACCTCTACAGATGGCTGTGTGAACTGAGAAGACAAATCGTACTTGGACAATCCGCACTCCCTCAACCTGTCAGGGGAAAAGTTCAGATTGCTGTGTTTCTAGGAGTAAAATGCCCTTGTCCTTGAAGCATCTGCAGCAGATTTGCCGGCTGCTCTGTGGGTCCCCTCGGGGGAAGTACAGAATCACAGCTCATTTTCTTCTCTCCATAAATTAGGCAATACTTGATCTGAAACCAGTAAAAGTTACAGAACTGTCGATTTGTGCAAAGTCAGCAAAGGATTCCTTAAGGAACCACAAGCAAAAAACATACGTGTTCTACAGCTGGTTAACTGCTCCTTAAAAGATTGTTACCTCAACATTTCATATTCCTGATATGTACCATGTACTTGTGTTAATAAGTATCCTGTACCTTTGCATTGCTTCCTTTGTGTAAAATACCTGGTGATCCTGACAGTATTCTTGCTTTCCTATTGCAAACTGACCATGCTAGGCACGAGAGCACATGGTCAGTTTTCTTGCTGTGCTGAAAGCACAGCCTGCCTGTCTAATGATCAGACTTCTGCTGACACCCCCTCCCCAGCTCTCTAAGCCTCTTATGCAGATGAGAACAGATTATGTGATCACTTATAAAAAAAGAAAAAAAGGTCTTTATAACATCTTTTCATATACACAGTATACGTATATCTACACACAAACATTTTGCACTTCTGTTTTAAACTGAGTGGGTTGTTATACAAGGTAAGGGTTTACAGATACTTTAACTAATTGCCGACCGCAGATAGCCGAATGACGGCTGCACTGCGGGCGGCCAGTTCTGGGTGGACGTCATATGACGCCCTCCCAGAACGCGCTCTCCTGCGCGCCCCAGGGGGCACGCACCCACAGCGATCTCCGTGATCCCTGTGTCCTACGGACACAGCTGATCACGTGATGTGGTAAAAGGCCAATCACAGTGGCCTTTTACCACGTGATCAGCCGTGTCCAATGACACGCTGATCACCAGGAAAATGCAAATGCCGGTTCTCGGCTGCACTTTCCTCACGCTGTCAAATCGTGAGGAAAGTACTGCCGAAAACCGGCAGTTGTCAGAGCGGGGATCGGCACCGATCATCAGGGTCACTGATCACCAGTGCCCTGATGATCGGTGCCCAGCAGTGCCATACACAAGTTCCGCCCACCTGTGCCCAGCAGTGCGCCCACCTGTGCCCAGCAATGCACCCACCTGTGCCACCCAGCAGTGTCACCACCTGTGCCCAGAAGTGCCACCTACCTGTGCCCAGTAGTGCCACCCACCTGTGCCCACCCACCTGTGCCCACCAGTGCCACCCACCAGTGCCCATCAGTGCAGCCCAGCAGTGCTGCCAGTCAGTGCCACCAGTCAGTGCCCAGCAGTGCCGCCAGTCAGTGCCCAGCAGTGATGTCAGTCCTACCTATCAGTGCCCATTATCAGTGGTGCCTATCAGTGCCACCTATCCGTGACACCTCATTAGTGCTGCCTATCAGTGCCGCCTATCCGTGCCACCTCATTAGTGCCGCCTATCCGTGCCACCTCATTAGTGCCGCCTATCAGTGCCCATCAGTGCTGCCTCATCAACGCACATCAGTGAAGAAGAAAAATTACCTGTTTGAAAAATTTTATAATAGAAACGAAAAAACTTTTTTTTTTTTTGCACTTTTTTTGCTTATAGCACAAAAAGTAAAGTGCCCAGCAGCGATTAACTACCACCGAAAGAAAGCTCTATTTGCGAGAAAAAAATGATAAAAATTTCATATGGGTACAATCTTGCATGACCGCGCAATTGTCAATAAAAGTGCGACAGTGCTGAAAGCTGAAAATTGGCCTGGTAAATAAGGGGGTATAAGTGCCCGGTAGGCAAGTGGTTAAAATGAAATTTCAGCCTATTTCCTTAAATTTGGATAGAGTGGTGAAGGTTTAGAACCTCTGCCAGGTTTCTATTGTTGTCTTCTTTGGAAGTTTTTTTTTTTTTTCAAAAATACTACCCCAATTACACCCATTGCTGGTAAAAATAAGTAAGGGTTAATAATTACAATTAATTCATAGCCAACAAAAAAATACTGACACATGCATGCAGGCGAGTAGAGAATCATACAATTCCTTCATCAAGCATCATCTATCAAAGATCAGACACATTTACATTCCAATATTCAGCAGAATCAAAAAGTGATGAATTAATGGTTCTCCTGATTTTACCATTCCTGCCAGCGGGGACAAAATGGCAGCTGCTCAGATCAATCTATAACTAGCACAGGAAAGGTAGACATGGACAGGACTCCGAACAATTCAAATGTGTGCTAACGTACTCTCAAACTAGTCAGCACAAAGCCTCTTTAACCACTTGCCTACGGGGTGCTTTTACCCTCTTCCTGCCCAGGCCAATTTTCAGCTTTCAGCACTGTCGTACTTTGAATGACAATTGCGCGGTCATGCAACACTATACCCAAACAACATTTTTATCATTTTTTGAGACAGATAGAGCTTTCTTTTAGTGGTATTTAACCGATACACGCCCGGCCAATAGCCAAAAGGCGGCTGGAAAAATGTATTGGATTTCCAGGTGGACGCCAAATGGCGTCCTCCCGCACATGCGCACTTTTCACGCTTGCAGAGCCGCGATCTGTCACCGGCCGTGTACCTTGGACACGGCCGATGACAGATCTGAGTATCGGCCCCGTTGCCGGTACCATGTGACCTGCTGTGACCAATCACAGCAGGTCACATGACAGTTGTATACAATGGATGGCTTCATTCACGCCATCCATTGTATACTACTGCCTAGCTGTGAATGGTCACAGCTAATCACATGCACATGTCACAGCTAAGCACAAAAAAATAAAAATCCTGAATGAATCGATGTCATTCTGGTAAATGCTTGCTTATAGCAAAGTAATTCTTTGCTACAAGCAAATTGTGTAAAAAAAAAAAATACTGATCACTTCCCCAAAGTAGTACAATGTTACTATGGTAACATTGTACTACTTTGGACATAGTGAAATATGAAAAAAAATTAAAAAAAAAAAAGAAGAAAAAGTAATAAAAAATTTAAAAAAAAAAAATAAATATATATATATATATTTTTTTTTTTCATACTGTCACCAGTCAGTGTCCCTGATCACCGCCATGCCAGTTATATGAAGACGCTGTACTGCACTGGTGACAGTATTTAAAAAAAAAATAGTGAAAATAAATTTTTGCATTTTTTCATTTTCCGAAAAATTATGACAAAAAAAATACAACTTCAAAAAACTTGCCATGCCTCTTATGAAGTACGGCGGTGATTAAATACCACCAAAAGAAAGCTCTAGTTGTGTGAAGAAAATTATAATATTTTAGTTTGGGTACAATGTTACATGACCGCGCAATTGTCATTCAAAGTTTGAGAGCGCTGAAACCTGGAAAATGGCCTGGGCAGGAAGGTGTAAAATTGCCTGGTACTCAAATGGTTAATCACCACTGGGGTCTTTATTTTTTTCTAAACAAACTAAAAAAGTTTTTTTCTTGGTTTCTGTTATAAAATTTTGTAAATAAGTATTTTTTCTCCTTCACTGATGTGTGCTGATGAGGCTGCAGTGATGGGCACTGATAGGCTACACAGATGGTCACTAATTAGGCAGCACTGATAGGTGGCACTGATGGGCACTGAAAGGCAGCACTCATATGGCACTGATAGGCGGCACTGACAGGCAGCTCTGATGAGCACTGATATGTGGCATTGATGGGCACTGACAGGTGTCAATTATGGACACTGAAAGGCAGCATTGATGGGGCTACACTGATGATCAGTGCCCTGGTGATCAGTGTAGGTGTCCTCTCTGAGGAATGCCGCTTACCAGATGTCAGCATGAGGACAGGACTGCCGATAACTGGAATTTCCTTTACATGCGATCAGCTGTGATTGGATACAGCTGATCACATGTCATCGATTCTTTACTGCGATCGGTGATCCGCTCTGTCCCAGGGACACAGCGCAACACCGATCTCCATGCACATGCGCCATTAGAGTGGGAGGACATCAGAACGAGAGAGCCGCCTCCTCCCATCATTTCTTTATATAGCTGTCGGGAGGCAGGTAAACTGCTTCCACATTTTATATTAAAAATAAAGGTTTTTACTGCATACATGTGTCCAGGCACCTCTGCGATGTGTGATTTCTAACTCCAAACTATCTGAGCATCTAGAATGAAACATACTTCATATACAGTACAGCAATGAAGAAATTAGGAAAAGGCTTACCTTGGAGGTAACCCCGTCCCTCTTAAAGTAAACTTGTCTGGACAGAAATACTACTGACCTTCGTTTGAAAATACTAGTTACTGGCTGTCATGTTCTTTTTTTTTTTTTTTTTACTTACTGACCCAAAACAAGCATATAACTTGTCAAGTCAGAGTGAAGTCAGAACTTGGGAGTTGCATGACTATTCTAAGTCAGTGGCCTAAAGTATTAAAGTAAAACTAAACTCCACAATACTTACCTCTGTTCCGATGATTCAACATCTGCAATGTCCCTTGCTGGCATTGCCATCTTCTCCATAAAACAATGAGAATTCACCAGCAAACACACACTCATTTATTGATACAATGTCACATTTGTCCAGTTGGTCAATGTTTGGGGCCTTGCAGGGTCCCTTCCTCAGGGTGATATAGTGACAACTTGCAATGCAATGAAGCCTACATACATAAGTGTAACACTACAAACAATTCCTGCAGCCCTCACACACAAATCCTGAGTGCAAAAATAAACAATAAATGGCATGTATAACAATAAAACAAGACATTTGCTCTATATTGCCAGCTGCATGTTGCTTCTGAGCTGTGCTACGTCAAAGTTGCTAATATCGTGCAAGAATGTTTGTGTCTAGGTGTACGTTTATTAACCACTTGCCTACCAGGCACTTATACCCCCTTCCTGCCCAGGCCAATTTTCAGCTTTGAGCACTGTTACACTTTGAATGAAAATTGCGCAGTCGTGCAACACTGTACCCATATGCAATTTTTATAATTTTTTTCACACAAATAGAGCTTTCTTTTGGTGGTATTTAATCGCTACTGGGTGTTTTATTTTTTGCACTATAAACAAAAAAAAAGAGCAAAAAAAAAATGATAGGCAGCACTGATGGGCACTGATAGGCAGCAGTGATGAGGTGGCACGGATAGGCAGCACTGATACGCAGCAAATACGGGCACTGATAGGCAGCAATTATGGGCAGCACTGATGAGGTGGCACGGATAGGCAGCACTGATAGGCGGCACTGATGAGGCAGCACTGATATGCAGCAATGATGGGCACTGAGGGGTACTGATAGGCAGCACTGATGGGCAATACTGACAGCACTGACTGGCAGCTCTCATGGGCAGCACTGATGGGTGGTATTGCTGGGTGGCACTGCTGAGGAGCACTGATGAGTGGCACTGCTGTGCACTGATGGGCACAGGTGGGTGGCACTGCTGGGTACTGATCATCAGGGCGCTGATCAGTGTCGATCTGTTCTTTGACAATTGCCGGTTATCGGCAGTACTTTCCTCACGCTGTGACAGTGTAAGGAAAATGCAGCCAATAACCAGCAACTGTATTTACCCGGAGATCTGCTGTGTTGTTGGACACAGCTGATCATGTGGTAAAAGGCCGCTGTGATTGGCCTTTTACCACATCACATGATCAGCTGTGCAGTGCGCTGGAGGGCGCGTTCCTGGAGGACTTCATATGACGCCCTCCCACAACTGGACAACCGCGCTGTAGCCGTCATTTGGCTGTAGCGCCGTTGCCAACTGGTTAAGCAGAGTTCATTTCTCTCATTTCAGTTCTCAGCAATTCGCAGGGAAAAATCTTCTCCTCTGTCCCCCTGTTTATGAAGTGGAGAACATTTGTTCTCAGGAGAAGAGAGTTTTTCCTCTGAGAACAGCTGAGATCTGTGTAGAAGGGGGAGGGGCTGCTTGTGATCTCCTGAGATAATTGTATGATTACAGATCACCTGAGTTTAAACAGTGAAACCAAAAGTTAAAAAGACCATGCAATACATGAAAACAATAAGCACTGACCACTGGTAGCTTTGTTACGCACATTTTGGCACATTCTTTAAATGTGTATTTTGGCTCCTTTTCATTGCACATTTTAGCATTATTTATGTACATTTTGCTGCTTTTTAATATGCTATATTTTTTTAACACGCATTTGCCGTGGGTTTTTTTAATGTGCTTTTTGGCGCTTTTCTAAACACACATTTAGGTGCTATAAATGCACATTTTTGGCACAGGTTATTTTAACATGCATTTTGGTGTGGTTTGTAACACATATTTTGGCACTTTTTTAAAGTGCATTTTTATTTGGTTTTCAATGCATATTTTGGCAAACTGCACATCTGCTAGCCACTTTTGGGTGCCATTAACAAATAATGGCACCGTAAACATGACATGCATTTTGCATGCATTTCAAGAACACACAAAAATGCAGGTAAAAAATTATTATTATAATTATTATTATGAGCCAAAATAAATGTTAAAAAAAAAAGCACCATGTTAAAAATGTGTGTTGAAGAAAAGCAGCAAAATGTTTGTTAAAAATTGCACCAAAATGTGCATTAAAAAGTCCCAAAAAAGATAAACTGAACCTTTTTTGGGCATGGAGTGTTGTGTGTTTTTTCAATGCGTATTTTAGTGCCTGGATGGCATATTTGTCAAATGACGAAATGTGCGGGAAAATGCATGTCTGCTAACAGCATTTGGGGTACCATTAACAATGGCAGATCTCACCTTCGTAAACTGGCCATCTCTGTACAAGTTCATGACAGAAGGGTGTGTCCGGTGATGAGAAGTGAAGAAAATGTTCCCCACTCCTCACCTCAGCTTCATAAACTGGCCCACCTGAGCAGGGGCGGACTGACCATTTGGAAACTTGGGCACTGCTCGAGGGCCCGGGGTCAGTAGGGGGCCCCATGAGATGCCCCTGAAACCTTTTTCATAGGCGTTTTTGAGTTTGGGCAAGGACACAGGGGCCCCATGATCCCCTATTGCCTGGAGGCCCCATGACTTGTCAGTCCGCCCCTGCACCTGAGAGATCAGCTGTGATCATGAGGATCTCAACTTATGTCTCTTTCATAAATGGACACCCTAGTGACAGGTTCAGTAGGAGCAAAACAAGGAAGAGGAGCACCAATCAACTTAAAGTGTTACTAAACCCACAACAGTAAAATCAGTCTGTATATGCAGTAAAGCATGCTTGTTATACTCACTGTGGAACCTAAAAGGTTAATCCTTTCTTCTCTGTTCCTCCCCTTTTTCAAGCAACCACCACTTATCTCCAGACTGAACCGTAAGCATGCACATGCTCAGTTTAGTGTGTATTGCTAGAAAGTTTTTTTTTCTTGGGAGAGTGCATGTGATAAGCACAGGGCCAATCAGCACTGTCCAGGCAGAGGTTAGGGGTCCTGCATCCTCCTAGAGCAAAATGAAAACTCCTACAAGCTTTAGCTAGTGCTTGGCTGGACACTGATAGAAGTCAGAAGACGCTCTAACTGCTGATGAGAAAAAAGTATTTAGAAGTTTATATTTACTAAAATAATTGTACTTCCATGTTCTGTGTACTGTGAAATAGTGAATGCAGGGTCCGGGTTTAGTAACACTTTAATACAAACAGGCTGGGCCCTGGCTGCTGACAACCAGCTTGTATCTTCTCCTACTGAACCTGTCACTAGACACAAACATTCTTGCATGGCTTTAGGAACTTTGAAGCAACACTGCTTCACACCGCTGATTGGTGCGCCTCTTCCTTGCTCTGCTCCCATTGTACCTGTCATTAGGCGCACACATGCTTGCATGGCGTTAGCAACATTAGGGCAATACAGCTCAGAAACAACATGCATTTGGTAATATAGTGAGCGTCCTGTTTTATTGTAATACATAACATTCATTCCTTTTATGTTTCCCTTTGTAGAAAGGATTTGAATGTGGGCACTGCAAGAATTGTTTATAGTGTTTGACTTGTGCTGCTTTTGGCGCTTTGGGATTTAGGCTGTCTCCTAGTTGGCTGCCCCACAGATCTTTTTACCACTTGCCGCTCTCCTATTTGCGCTTGAGTCATTTATTGTCAGATATATACATAAGTGAACATGCACAACTAAATACCCACCCCCAGTGCTATCATAATGACCTAATAAAAAAAAAAAAAAAAAAAAAAACAAAACAGTACAATTCAGTCAAAAAATTAAATATATGCAAAGAAACACTCCATCTAAACAACAATACAATGTAGAGGGTATCTTAAAACCTGGAAATGCCATGTGAGCGTTGAAGTAAATCAGTGCCAGCTCATCAATAGGAACAGTATAGCAAGCCCCCTACTTATGTACGAGTTCCATATCGGGAGACTATTCGTAAATCCAACAAAGATCAGCACTTGGCTGCGAGCACTGATCGATGTGTTCTGGTAGAGTAAGAACACAAAGGCACAATGAAGGGGATCAACACACCAACATTGCTTGTGTTGGTAAGGTGATTGGCCTGCTGGGTTGAACAAAAAAAAAAACCTGTGTGTGACATGTGAATATCTTTGAAAGTTTGCAAGTTGAACTTTCGTATGTTGGCGACTAACTGTACAGAGAATCTAGACAATGTGCCGCTGAGTTGACGCGTGGGCATTAAAAGTAGCAAATATATGTGTGTGCGCAAAAAAAAAAAAATGGCAAAATCTCAATGTCTATGGGGTCTGCTACAAATCGGTAACAACTGCCACTGACTAAAAATTCTAGTGGAGGTGCTTTGCACATGGAAAACGTGACATAAAATCAGTGGGAATTCAAAGAAGGAAAAAAGAACCAAATGGAAAACAAAACCAAATAAAGTACAAATATACATACATATACAATTTATAAATGGATGTTTGAAACAGAATAAATGCCATTGCAAAAAAAGGCTACACACAATAGGATGAATGCCAACAATCTCAGTACATAGATTCCTATGCAGCATGGATGACATGATATGGCATATCAAAGCAGAACAATTAGAAAGCAATAATTACCATGCAGAAAAAAGTGAAAAACATCTTTAGTAATCCTGACTGGTTGGCAAAGAATAATATAACTCCTGCGTATGTGTGGGATTACATAATTACCGTTCGGGAGTTCATTCATCCCATCACCAAGGTACTGTGCCAAGAAAGCATGCGCAGCTCAGTGTACTTTCAAAAGGAAACTGCAAACGGGTAGGTACGTTTGATTTATTGCAGAAGAGACAAAGCATGTCTCTCCTGAAATTAATAGCCTGATTGTTTTCAATTTTACACTAAAGTTTCAATTTGAATCAGCTAAATACACTACAAAATGCATGCATACAAAAGGTGTGCAAAATGCTGTTTTTTTTTAGAAAGCAGCCAGGTCCTGAATAGAAAAGTCCCCAGACTGCATGCTACAGAGGAGGACCCTTGATCTCAGCATGGAAGCAGTGGTCCCACCGCAGAGGTCATGCAAGCCCACTGCGGAGTCAGACCTATAATTCTTGCTAATTAAAGAGCTCCAGCTTTTCTTTAAATGGGATGTTTGCACTGAGATAAATAAGGAAGAGACACAGTCTGTGACAGACTGGCTGAAAGAGAATAATGGCAACAGACTCTGATCTTCCCCATCTTCAGCTTGGTGCAGACCCCAAGAATTGAGTTAAACACTCTTTGGCTTCCAAACCTGAGAGCAGTGCAAGGGTGATATTAACCGCTTCCCCACCCACCCTGTAGCAGAAGTACTGCTACAGGGCAGCACAGGTGCACAAAATCATGTGTATATACGTGATTTTTAATTTCTGGGTAGGGGGTGCATGTGAGGAGCGCTCACGCTGCCATTTGCGGCTATGGCTGTCAATCACTGGGTCCTGGTCACCGATTACTCACCGACGACTGGTGATTGCCGAGGATCTCCGACAGGGTGGGGCGGAGAACTGTTTGTAAACAAAACAGTTCTCTCCCCTGTCAGATCATTCACACTGCTTTGCATGGCTGTGCACAGCACAGCCATGCAAAGCAGTGTGCTTACAGTGAAGCACACAGACACACACCCCTAGTAAAACCACACACAATTAACCCTTTGATCGCCCCCACATGTTAATCTCTTCATGCCCAATGCCATTAGTAGAGTGTCAGTGCTTTTTATTAGCATTGATCACTGTATTGGTGTCACTGGGGATGTCAGTGACACCAAGTCAGTTCCCCCCCAGTGTCAGAATGCCCGCCGCAGTCGCCGATATTACTAGTATGAATTTAAAAACAAAATCCAAGTATATATACCGCCATTTGTAAACACTATAATTTCATGTAAACCAATTAATTTACACATATTGGGATATTTTTTAGCAAAGACATGCTGCAGAATACATTATACATTTTGGCCTACATTTATAATTAAATTTTATTTTTTATTTTTTTTTACTGGACATGTTTAATAGCAAAAAGTCAACAATATTGTTTTTTTTTTTCTCAAAATTGTTTTTTGTTTATAGCGCAAAACATAAAAAACGCACAGGTGATCAAATATCACCAAAAGAAAGCTCTATTTGTGGGAAAAAAAGGACGTAAATTTCATTTGGGTGCATTGCATGACCGTGCAATTGTCAGTTAAAGTAACACAGCGGGGTAAATCCTCTGGAGGGTAAGTGGTTAAACTATACACATAAACAAGAGAGAGAACAGACATATAAGTATGATTTGCCCA